AGTATATGTACTCATATATCCATGCAGCCCCGCGGTCGCTTCATACCGCTCCCTTCACTTCATATTGGCGGACCTACTAAGTTGGTATCCGGGGCCATCCGCACAGTGGCTTGCAATGTTGGCGGCGCATTGCCCTTTCCTCTCCAATCTTTTGGCCCTCCCCTCACCACTCCCCCCATTGCCCAAGATTTCTGTACCTTATTATATTTCTTTCCATCTCTATTGCAATTTTCCTGTCTCCACTTTTGATTTTTACATTATTAGTGGCAATAGTAAATGAATATGAATATTATACTTCACAAATGAAGCAATAGGAGCAACAGGCATGGTCGTCCAGCGCTGCCGTCGCGAAGTCTGAACGCTGCCTCACTGACTCCGCTTGCCCCTACACCACATCCACCGCGGCACGAGCATTGTGTAATAGAGGTGATAGAATTTCCTCACCCTACCATTCACAAATCGAATAAAGCAGCAAAGAACGCTGTATATCATACCGTCCGGTGCTACCATTTATCACAACGAACTGTCGATCACGCATTTCGCCCGACACTGGTCCCCACTCATCGCAGTATATTGAGAATACCTGCAGAGAAAGATTATGTTTCACTTCAGGTATCATTTCTGTTGCAGCTAAGGGTACAGTTGTACTGTAAATCTATCCTGCAAAATAAAGTGCATTACAGACGTTTCGGAAAAGTAAGAAGATTTGAAGACACATTTCGCCATTAGCCTTCGGTAGAAACTTCTTCTCCTGCGAGTGGATCGGACAACAACCTCAGGAGTTGCTCTACTTTCACAGCTTGACAGTGCGGTAAGATGGCACTGCGGTCATCACAAGCCAAAGGAATGTCACCCATGGCAGCGATATGCCAGCGGTCTTATATTACAAACACTCGTTATGTCCATTCTCTGCAGTATCCGCCTTGGCCGTCTCGGTCGTCTCCCTGTTCTTTCATCCGTTGACTCTCGTCCCTCGCTTGCGCAGCAGTGTCTCACTTCTTCGAATATTCGTCCATTCGCGATGCTTCATTCGGACCTCTGCAGCGGTTTTGCCGAACCGTTCTTTACAGATTTTTCCATTGGCAAATATATTAACACCCGCGAATTCATATTTAGATTCCGAAAAAAAACCTAACTGACAGAGGAATGACAATGACAGAGTGCCTCCAAAGGGTTCGAGTCGGGTCAGTGTAGTTCAAGTTCCCACAAGCAGAGTTTTGCATTTTAAAACTTGGTGCGACAGGAAAACAGCGAAAGGCTCTCGGCGTTAATCAGACTTCTCTTGGAATGCACTACCATTTAAACTCCTGTTTTTTCTTGCAATATTTGGTCCATACAGTGCCCTGCGAGGACTACCCAGTGTACGAGTCCGTGTGTTATTAAGAGGGCACATCGTACGTTGAAGATTCCTAGCGAGGGAGATCGTATTTGATCGCTGGAGGCAGAAAGCCGTAGTTTCCCCACATGAAAATGTCTTCGGTTGATGACTTTTCTCAATTGTTCCCCTCTTATGTGGGCTGTCCCCTATTCCCCCTCAACTTCCCTGCTCGACAGCTATTTTTGAGGAAAAACTGAAGATATTTGAGAGAAGAAAACTTCGGAAGTTGGTAGAAAGTTGGAGGGGGAGGGTCATATTTCTTAAAACTTCCACCCAACGTCGGCACGTTACCAGGAAGTCTGATATCAATTCACTGGCTCCACCTGCTCGGAAGGATGGGACGTTCGAGAAGTCTTAGTGTGGGTGAATTCAGAAGTCGTTCCGCAGAAGTGCCTGGCAGGCAACAAGTGGTTCCTTGTTGCCACACAGGCAGCACCCGCCAAATACCATCATGTGGCTGGACCAGGACAAAAAGACCCCTCTTCGAAATGTGAAGGTTTATAACTCACAGGATTCCCAGAAACTGCGCAAACAAGATGAAGAGCTTCTCGAAAAAAAGCCCACATTAGTTGTGGCCATGAAGAAATAGTAAAACTGTGGGAAAAATTAGGTGAGTTTTCAACAGTGTTTATACTTTTCTCAGGGCCCCCATTAATTGGGGATTTTGAACGATCCCCCTTTTCTTGATAGTTGGTACAACCCCCTCCCTTCCCCATTATAATGACCACTCTCTTCGTTTCTTCAATCTGCCCAACTTCCTACCACATTCGCCGCAATTTTCCGAAAATTTTCTTAGTTTTTCCTCAAAAATTTTGCTGTCGAAGGAGGGAGGGGGCGGAGGGGGGAGGGGAGCGCACATGAAGCTCGAGAAGTGCAGTCTCTCTCGGAAAGCCATAAGGCAATTACCACTCCCCACTATCCCAACAACGAGCGGATGCAACCCCTCCCACTCCTTTATAGCGTCCGGGGAACAAGAAAGATCAAAAAAATTTTCTCAAACCAAAAGACCCTCCCCTTCCTCCAGCGGCCAAATATGACCCCAGGAATCCCCAACAACGATGTGCCCTGGTTTCTTCTTCAAGTCGGTTTTTCAAGCCATGTTGAAACCACGAGGAAAAAGACAAAAGAGCAAAGTCAACTGACACTATTTCCTTTACAGGATTTCACTGGGTAGACGTACAGTGCACCCACAATTCCAATAGGGATCAGTGGTGAACGACGAGCACGAACATAATTCAGTAGATAACGAACTCCCTGAAATCAGCGATGATAAATGTAACCGTTTTCATTTCAGAAATGAGCCATGATTCTCCAATGCTCAGACCATTGAAGCAGTTAGACCGTCATTTTGCTGGCACAAATAATCAATAGATAGGGCAATTTTAACGTTCCATACTGATAAGACTCCAAAGAACATTCAAAAATTAACGTCTAATACGACTAGCAATTGGCTCGAGATAAAACTAAAGAACAAGTCTAAATGAAAAATACGTACTCACATTATAGACAACTACTGATGTTCCAATGATGCCGATGAGGAGTTTCCTGTCCTCAACCATTTTACACTTTCGAATCTTCCTGAAGTTAACAATGTGATGGCCTGATACGGGGAAAGAGTCGGAGATAGGGCAGCTCCTCCTCCCCTTAGTGCACCATCTTTATGGTGCTCAACAAAGAGTGAATTTTTTAACCGCATAAAATAAGGAAGGATCTCAGCAGGGAAGTCCGCCGAGATACCACGGAACTTTGATCGGGGTCCTGGGTAAATCGATAGAGGCTATAAGATTATTTACAAATATAGATGGCAAAATGCAACCTGCAAATCACAAGCAACTTGTGAGCAGGGCAGTAGGACTCTGTGGAGCCAGGCACGAGTAGATGAGGCTTGTGGTGAGCTGTGAAGCATAAGCGAGGAATCGCATACGTCGAATCGAGTAGTGGTGGTTCAGTGGTAAGGTTCGACGTTCGACGACTCGATTCGACGTATGCGATTCCTCGCTTATGCTTCACAGCTCCCAAGCCTCCACTCTACGCACCATTACAAACTTTACCTGCTCATAAGTTGCTTGTGAAATGCAGGTTGCAGTTTTGCTATCTATATTTGTAATAACCTTATAGACTCTATCGATCTACCCAGGTCTCCATTCAAAGTTCCATGGTAAGTAAGTTGGCAGACTTCCCTCAGTGAAATTCTTGATGCTTCCTATGTCAACCACTGTCGACTACTACTGCCCCTATTGAAAAGTGAACAAGGACAGGGTGTCTCAAGTGAGAACGGCCATGTAGTGATAACACTGCAACAGGAACCAGAAAAGGTCAGTCGTGTCTGTCACGTTTGCTGTCTGAGAAGTGTGGCAGTCATATTTTTCACGAGGCAACCACAATCTGAACACTATGTACGAAGTATTGCAACAGTTCTGAATGGTTTGGATCCACCTTTACTCAGTGTACTTTGCCCATTTCACTACTACAGACGTTCTTCAACTATAGAGTGTTCTCGATCCCTAATCCCCATTGGTAAAGGAGTGGACATCTGCAAGGATTCCCATGAATTCAGGCGGCAGTAACTTCAGAACAAAATCAACGTGAAAGCAATCTCAAACTGAGTACTTTTAAATTGGATTGCTCAGGAGAAGAGAAGCTCCCTTGCCGATATCCACGTTTGGAGATCATCTATACACCCACCTCTGTGACGGTCCTTACCATGGAGGTGAACGGTTGCACGGGTGCAGAAGCGTGATCCTTTCTCCACTCAAAAATGCACAACGGAGCTGGATGGTGGTAATACCCAGATGCTGTCTCTCCACTCCACCCGCACTGCCGCTGGTCAGCCACACGCTCACCCATTACCCAAAGAGCTACGTCCTGTTTTAGTTTTGCTTTTTCTCCACCTCTGACTGTATGTTCGCTGCGGGATTTGGTATTAACGCAAGTGCAGCATCTTGAGGATAGTGCGGCGGTCTCGAACGGCATTCTGGCGTCACCTCCCTACAACCCTTTCCTTACCGTGTGCTTTTGTCATGGTGGCACGGTAAAGAATTGTCAAAATAGGTTTTTAGACCTATTAACTCGCACTCGGCAAGGACCAGCATCCACGGAAGTGAGCATACAGTTTGTCTTAGTCCTCGTTTGGAGACGTAGCTAGTGCTGTTCGAATATGAGTGAGAAAGTGTCAAGTGACCCTCGGTGAAAGGGAAATGCAAGATGGTATTGGAGCCTTAGATTCCATAGGAATCCGGTAATCAGCTCAATGGACATCATCCGAGCGAGGTTTTTCCTTATAATGAATCAGTTCCTCGAGCGACAGTGGAGCTTCCATTTCATGCCACTTGCAAGGCGGAACTGCCCGGAATCCGGTAGCATGGTTTCTTTTCGAAACGCAAATTTTTAGCGCGGACCCAAGAGGAGGAGCCACCGGCAAAAAGGAGGCGTCACTCGCGCCACAGCGTCCTCAATATATAATAACATAATATTGTATGCAATATAACATAATATTTTGCAATTTTTTATTTTATTTTTATTTATTTTATTGTTATTATTTGTTATTTTGCAATGCAACATTTTGTGGTTACCCGTCGAAATGGTCACAGTTGATACGGTAGAATGTAAGAAACGTGCTGGCTGACTTACTGCCAAAATCCAGGCACTCCTAGATGTTTTACCGGCGCGAGTCGGGCAGAGAATAACATGATTTCTGGCCATTACAGTATATTATGAGTCTTTCTCAGAACAAAAGAATTGCAGCTTTCGCAAAACCAGCGATAGTATGACAAGTTGACATATTGTTGAAATTTTCATTAGAATAATTATGAGGTGAAGATGATTAAATGGAAGAGGGTGATGTAATTCAAAAGGCACTTTTGTTAAGCGTGCGTAACCGGTTTGTCGCACGTGGTCGTATCCTGAAAGATCATATGAAGGCAAATTTTTGTAGAAAGAGAAATAAGAATAGACAACCGGTTTATGTCGACAGCAGCGTTTCCGTGCTCTGTGTTGAAGAGCCGAAGAATAGGATGTCCTTAACTGTTGTCGCATAGGGCCCTCCGTGGTAGACGTAAACCTGGAGATTAGCCTTAAATAATGCATCAAGCAAATAAAGAAAGCTCACTGTCGTAATTTCTTCAATGGCTGCATATCGCTGTCCTTAGTGCCAGTGAGCGGATCGACAGTGGTCAAAACACACCTGAAAGGTGGAGATACTTCAAGGCCGGCGCAGTTTGACGACGGGGGGGGTGCCTTTTGTACTATCATTGTTTCCCTTCCCTAGTACCGGTGCACAAATCTCACTCTAGCGAGACCTGTGAGCTCTTGTGAAGCTGGAGCAAGCTCATTAACATCAATGGTAAACTGTCACCGAGAGGTGCGTAGATGGGTCGACACGTCGACACGTGGGAAGCAGCGACAGTGAAAAATGCGGGAGACGACCAAGAGGATCGTAATTTGCCGCTCCGCCGCGCGACGAATGAGGCGCGGACTTTTTTAAAGCTTTTGTTAACCTTGGCGACTGGAGGCTGGACTTCATGTAGACCTTTCATACGTAAAACAATTCCATGATATTTTCAGTTTCTTGTGCATGCCTGTTGTCCCATTCTACTAGTGGAAATGTTATTCTGCGGGCGCGAAGTCTGCATGCGAGCTCCGAAGCGGGAATAACGATCTCTTGTATATACGCCGAAAAAATGCCCCCGTCGTCAAACTGTACCTTCAAGAACTATAATTATAATATCATTGGGATTACCTCGTGCATGGCTTGAAGCACTGCAGTCGAGTGTCTCCTATCTGAAGGTCGATCCACTTATCCTCATCCCATGCAGGCACCGATCTACTACAATCACTGGACGAAAGTTTTTGCTCGAAACCTAGAAACATTTCCATTGAGCCCTTCGCATTCCCATTAAAACCATAAGCGTCAATACATTCGGCCAACTCAAGCTCCGAATCGCAAAAATGAATTTCGCTGTCGCAGCATTCTCAAGTTCGTTTCCGTATCCAGAGCCAAACAAATGTCTATGACTCTCCGTTCGACGGTATATCGTTGGTTTAACATATAGTCTCTACAAAAGCTGCTTTGGTGAAGGAAAGAAAAACACTTTCAGCGTTGGCCGATCGTCTTCTGGGATGTACCACGCATTTTTGCTGTATACAGAGACGTAGTGACAGTGCGAATGCGATATGGTCTCCACAATGGATTGCGATTGTCAGCCGTTTAATAGCCCACTCGATTTATCCTAACAGGTAAGCCTGTTACCTACAACCAGCTCCAGTGGGATGGAAGGCTCTGGCGGCCAGAACCCGAGCCAGCAAGCTTTGACGGAGACACTCTTACATTAGTATGGTAAATACCGTTGCGTTTCTCCACACCATTTCAGATACCTCCACCCTTTACTATATACCATTGAGGAGGCATACTAAGGTCGAGAGACTCTCCTGTTTCCTCCCGACACGATTTTCAAGCTAGGTTTCAAATGAAAAGTGAAAAGGCTGGCGCTCACGTGGTCAGTCTGCGAACAAATTAGACTGAATCCCTTCAATCGCATCAACTTCCTGATCTTCCCTAATCTCTCATGTCTGCACGATATTCTGTGATCACCTTGACTAAACGTATTCCATCTTCTCAGCCATGATAAGTCATTCATTCAAAAGGGAGCCCCTCCCCCTGAAAAGCTCGTCCCCTGTACTGCGACATGCTTTTTGCATCTTTCGATGCCTTGGCACCCGCAGTCCTGAGTTCCTCTGCCCTCTCGCTTTTTGCTACCGGACCCAACCAAAAGTTCTAGCTGTCACACATAACTAATTGGATGGAAGATGTGGGGAGGATGGGGGGTAGTCAACCTGGCCGCGTACAGTCTGTGTTGATCTGTTAGGAGACATGAAATTGTGTTCGCTTTATTATAACCCTTGCCACTATCCTATTGTCGGTGAGTATAAGCCGCACCCGCGTAAAAGCCGCACTGTCGCATTGAACGCCTTAAGTATCGCAGAAGAAAAGTACGTTCCAGTTACATATCGCCAAGTACTGTGACACAGTTTGGCTTGGTGGGGTCATCGAATGGTACTCAGCAAAGAATAAACAGGCTACCTTGTGGAGACCTGTAAATTCCTACTGCTAAAGTGACTCACTTTCAGGGATTCGCAAGAGTTTACAAGCCCTAGCAACTTAAGACCTGATAGTCTGCACGAACTAACAAAAAAAACTAGCAAAAATGCAAAATGCCAGATAGTTCTGAGCGCACGTCGCGTACGTTTCTGCTCCGTTTCTTTTTTCTAATCGAGAATGCAGCTTAGGCGCAAAAAAAGGAAATCTCATTGTTCAAAGGGATGACCTGGCCGCCATCTTGTTCCACCAAAGCAGCAGCTCTGCAGAAGTGACCCTACTATTATAATTTGAGGGTTGAGGCAGGAATAAAGCAAGTTGGATATATTTTCTAAAGGTTGCGTTAGTTCTGAGATTTAAGTTTATAATGAAAAAAAATTAAAATCAAATAATTTCAACTATTGCTCACGCTGTTTTCCAACTTAGTATTGAGTTCGTCTAGAGAAGCTTGTGTGGTGATCATGTACGGTGCTAGGTCTGCGTAGGCGCACTAAAATTAATTCATATTGACGTAAGCTTATGTATTTAGCACTTTCAATCTCTTTGAAGTAGAAAGATCTTCAAGGGTGAAGACATACATTGTCTTTCCTCTTAGGGACATTATTGTTCCACCAGTCAGGATGTGTAAC